CGATACACAACCTAGGTATAGAACTACTGTAAAACAAGAGAAACTCCTCTTCCACATCTGAGCCCAGGTATAGCCTCCGAAGTGAGCAATACCGCAAAATTCCTATCCGTCCTCAGGACAAGTAGGACAGTCCTCGTCCTCTTTCAAAATTATTGTACTGATTACAGTACCATATGGGATAAGAGAACTTCACCATTTGGACACAGAGAGGCTGTCAGTGTGCGTGCCCTAACTGGTGACATAACTACAATAATCTGTACAATAAGGCTAAAGTCACGTACTATGTAGTAGACACAAACCTCCTACAACTGTTCGATCTGTTACTACGGGTACTACCAAATGAATGGTACATGTACTTCCGACAACTAAGCTATTCAATCACAATTGCTTTTACCGCAAACGCAAGACTCCTCTCCTTCCTCCGTCTTTTCCTCCTCTACGGCCTTCCACGAAAACCTCGACCAGCAACAGCTTATGGCCCACCATAATAAAAAAAAAGATCAAAACCAATGCGCACTTTTGTCGACACAAAGTACTTTTTATTCAGCAACTTCAACAATTTTTTACAATTCATATTTGAATTGGTCACATTGTTTAACCACTTTTCAATTCATTTCTGAGTTGAAAGTTGAAGCGAAAAACGTTTGATGCATCAACAGCTTTTCATCGCTCGGATTGCCACAACCGAACTCGCTTCAACGCCGTCATGATCCGTGCTCCCAACGCCTCAAGCATCTACCGTCCCGACCTCTTCCGAGGCAAAGTGGTGCGTTAAACCTCCACTTCTCTCGTTTGCACTCACAAACCTAAGAGTTCTGCTACCTTTTAGGCCATCGTGACCGGTGGTGGAACTGGAATCGGCCGATGCATCGCCCACGAGTTGGCATCGCTCGGCTGCTCGGTGGTGATCGCAGCTAGGAACGAGGAGCGTCTTCTCGCAGCAGCGGAGACGATCCGCAGCCAGGTGGACGCTGCCGGCCGCGACCTGAAGGATGTCATTCATCCAATTGTGTGCGATATCCGCAAGGAGGAGCAGGTGAACAACCTGGTGGACGAGACACTGGCCAAATACAAGCGCATCGACTTCCTCGTCAACAACGGTGAGCACTGTGGCATCGATATCATTGGTCTAACTGTGCTAACTCGGTTGATTCCTCTAGCGGGTGGACAATTCCGTGCTCCAATTGAGAAGGTGAACCTCAAGGGGTGGGAGGCCATCATGCGCACGAATCTGTAAGTTTAGTAGTTTTTCCTGTGTCCAAACATTACATTAATGGTAGTTTTGATCAGGAATGGCACCTTTATGGTGACCAAGAAGGCGTACCATGCGTACATGAAGGAACACGGCGGCAGGATCGTTAACATCATTCTTGTGATTGACAAAGGGTATCCCTTAATGGCTCACAGTGGCGCTGCTCGTGCTGCTATCGAGAATCTGAGCAAGTCCCTGTCAGTGGAATGGGCCGCGTCGGGCATCACGCTCAACTGCGTCGCTCCAGGTATCATCCTGTCGAGTGGTGTGGACAACTACGAGGGCGGTGCTGAGCAGTTCCACGTTGCAGCCAGAGGCGCCACAGCTGCGAAGCGCGTGGGGAGCATCGAGGAGGTGTCGGCTAGTGTGTTGTACTACTTGTCGCCTGCTGGAGCGTATGTGACCGGAGACACGATGCACGTCGACGGTGGCTGGCACCTGCTCGGTCCTCTGCTTGAAATTCCTGCGCACGAGAACAATCCTCCGTACGGCACGGTTGGATCCAAATTGTAACTCGCTACAACGTCTAGCAAAGGATGAAGAAGACACAGACACAAGAAATGAATGTTGATAACTTGTTAGTTAACCTTTTATCCGACGCCTACCATTCCTGTCGTTCACCTCGAAGCTGCTGTTGGCGGCGTTCTTGTTCAAGTGCATCGCGCACAACGACCTTGCCCACCACGTAAACACCACTGGCCACCATGCCGTAGATCGCGAATAAATACGAGGCCACCACGCTGGCAGCACCGATAAAGCCCAGCACCACGAACGCCGTCGCACTGAGTGGATCAGGTTGGTAGGAAAACACCATGTTGACGAGTGAGAAGAAGAAGTAGAAGAGCGCGCCCAGTAATCCCGTCGTGAAGTTCATGACAGCCACGAACACCCAGTTTAAAACCATACTCAGTACATCTTCATCTCGCGCTGATAGCACGCGCATGATCATGTGGTAGAACGTCTGCTGCTGGGCGAAGATCTTGCCCTTCTCAAATGCGTTCCAGAATCTAGAACGGAGATCGGCCAGACCAAAATCTGACCAGAGTCCCACATACGATCGAGCTTTCTTCATCTTGTCTTCACGTTCCCGCTCTGTTCTCGCCACCTCGGCTGCCCATTTGTCAGCCACTGGCTGGCGTTGGTCCACCATCGTCTTGTACGGCTCTCGGAAACGCCAGAACCAGACTTTGGCTTCGTCAGCGTAAGACTGGGCCTCCATGTACTTAGCGTACGCTTCATGGTACTCTGGCATGTTGGCAGCCTCCAAGACCATGCCCTCGTACGTAGACTTCATCTCGGGAGTGACCGTGCGCAGACCCGGCGATAGCAGCATGAAAAATAGGCCGACAGCCCATAGTACGAGCCCTACGCGGACCTTGGGGGACTTGATGGCCTTTCCAGCTACAGCTTTGACCAATGCAACACCTGGATCTCCTTCTTCCGCATAACGAGCACTTTGAACGGCGTCGGAGTCTGAACGATCGAACAAACGAGTAATAATTAGTATCAGAGAAGGATATAGAGCTGGTAAAAGCAACTACATGGAGAGCAGACAATGGTGAAACAGATAGAGTAGTAGAGAGTCACGTACCTCCAGCGTAGGCGCTTGTGTGACCAGGACGACGACGCATCTTGGGTTACGATTCTTGCAGTATGATCAGAGAGATTTGAAATGATAGGATTTTGGAAATTCGTAATTTTAGGATTTGGATTAGAAGATTCTAGAATGGGTTGAAGTTGCTTTAGCCATGTTCTATTTTTGATCGACGCCATGAGTCATCGACGCGAACGCTGCTCTTCGCTTATCAAACTGCGCGAATCATTCATTGCTTAGAGACCCAAAGGGATGAACAAACACAGGCACAAACAGCCTGATACGTCAAATGAATTCAGCGATGCCTTGAACCGCGAGAAGTTTGCAGTCAAGATTGCAACGAAGACAAACCCACGCGGCAGCAAAGTCGTGCCTGGTATCACGGTAAATGTGAAAACATCAGTGCAAAAGCCTGTCACCGAGCTGAATGCATCTATCGATACTGACCCGGCATCGACTGATTCCTCAAACCGCCGCAGTAGCGTCAGGAAACAATCCCAACCGACGGACACCCGAGCGAATCATCCAGACGAGGATGCTGAAGGTGTTTACAAAATTTTCGTACAAACGCGTCGATGTGAAGAACTGTGCTCGGGGCTTGGACTTACAATGAAAGATATCCGTAAGATGAAGCGCAAGTACGATGCCAACGACATGTTTCATTCGTACGTTCGTTTAATACTTGGTAATTGTGATTTTCGGCTTTTAGTGTACTTAAGTATATTTTCCTTCTTCTACATGCAGCGGTGAGATCAATCAGGCCGAATTCTTCTTCATGATAAAAGAGGAACGAAGGCCGTTGACACTTGGAATTTTGAAGTTTGCTGACGTTCCAGAGTCTCAAAAGTTCCTGTCGTTCGACCAATATCTGCTCTGCGTTGTGAACTTTGCTGTACTTACAAAGCCCGAGCTCTATCAGTTCGTCTTCGACCTGTACGATGACGACCAATCCGGTGCTCTGGATGAGCGAGAATTTACTAAAATGAGTCTAGAATTGCAGAGTAAGCAATTTCACTTCCAAGCAAACGTTTCGATGGCTATCAAGCTCCTCGAAGGCAAAGAGGGCCGTGCGGTTTTCGCTCCTGACGACGGACTGGTTGATATGGGCGAGTTCATGAAATTTGCGAAAAATTTCCCAGTAGCCTTCTACCCGATCATGAATATGCAGAAGAATGTGCGTGCCTCCACGCTGGGTGAATCTCGCTGGTCTCGCATCACGGCCAATAAACTCAAAGTCCAAGAACTTGTAAGCTACATGCGTCGTCACCAGGGTGCAATACCACAGCTCACATTTCGCGAAAGTATTGTGAATATTTTTTCCAGTGAGATATTTCACATCCGCAAGCGTGCCGGCGAACTTTACGCTCGTGAGCTTGTCCAACGCCATCGTCTGAGTACCGTGGATATCGACGGAGATTAACGTTTCATCTCGTTAAGAAATTGTCGGTATGCCAATGTTCGAAATCGGGCTATCACTGTTTTCTCACCAAACAGAATACTAGAATTCCGACGTACACGTTTCTCGAGATCGTCAAAGTGAGAGATGATAACAAACCTGTTAACGAGGCGAACGTGTTAGTTCCACAAAGTCCAGCAGCTACTTCAATATTTCAAGCGTTGGAAGTTCCAGCCGCTTGCTACATCTCTCAGGTAGACGAGCATTACAGTGGATACACCACCAGCGAGAACGGAACCGTAAAAGAATCACCATCAGGAAACGCAGCAAACATACACAGTGCGTAAAACACTGACACTTTGACAAAACGAAGTACGTCAAGTAGTTCTTTAGTCAGGTTTGAGATCGCTCGAATGCTTTATCGTCCTTTCCTGGAAAAAGCCACGAACTGTTACGGGAACCACCATTCAACAATGCTGACGTATCTCGTTCCGAGTCGCTTGTAAAGTTGCTTTTGGCGCTCATATTGGAGAATGTAAACCACCATTCAACCTTTTCGCAATCCACCTGGACAAACTATACCATACAAATCCTAGTCATTGCCTTCTAAATGGCGATATCTTCACGGTACTCTGTGACAACCTCATTATCACTTACAATCTGTAGTTGCGAGCCCATGCTCTTTCGCTTAAGTACATTTGGAAAATTCCAACATCATCCTCATTCGAGAATCTGTCGAGTCAAGGAACGATGGCTATCTTGTCCCTGGTTTTGCGCGATTGTTGGTTTAGCGGAAAGTGGTTTTATCGTGACGATCGAGGACGACCAGGGAGTGTGGAATTTGAAGAAGGCCATCAAGATGGCGAACCGGGAAGACTTGATGGATGGAGGTGACAAGAACCTGAAACTCTACCTAGCGAAGACAGAAAGGAAGAAACCTAGGAACGATAAAGACGAAGAAGGTGATGAGAAGAGCTATGCATGGCTGTCAGACAAAAGTGATGTAGCTCGGAAGCTGGATATAGGATAGGTGACAATGACATCCAGGCGTTGATCAGCGGAGAACACGTGAAGGTATCGACGGCATTGCTGAACTGGCTGTTTGTCAAGAACGGGATGCCACAGCCATCCAGTAAGCAATTTCACATGCTTGTGGTGGTTCGGAAGCGCTCGGCTGCACTCCTTGCCGTCGAGTGGGAGTCAACCCTTGCGAACTCTCCATTTCCGAGGTGCGGCCAGATAAAGATGCGTTCAACGATGACGACAATCGATAGGATGCGCTCTTGCTCGCCGATTCTCTGTGGCTTCTCGGGCCACGCTGCTTAAAACAATTTTTTTTTACTAGTATTTCTTGCTTACATTTTTTTTTCTTTTCCGAGTCAACAAAAGTGCTTTCTTACAGTTTATTTACGGTATTTGCCATTATTGCTTTTACCAAACGTTTTGTCGTCTAGAAGCAAACTTCAGGTAAGCAATAGCAAAATGAAACCGCAACGATAAATTAATGATGAAACTGTTTTTTTAATTGTGACCGATACTAATGCATGGGATCTGAGGCATTATTTGTAGATATGTTGTTAACCCGGGCTCTCTTACTGATATCTTCATGTTTACAACGATGTTAGGCATTACATTGCTGCCGCGGGGTTGCGGAGAACTTATTTTACTTTACCTGCGTGCGGTTTACTTCGCTGAATTCATTCGCAATATCATGCTATTTGTACTTGCGTTTGTTCCTTCATCGGGTCAAGCATTGGATTCGTTTGCGATTGAGACAACTTGGTTGAGAGCGTTAACGATTGTTGACCAAAGCCAGATCACCGCAGTAGTACCAGAAAGCAATCTCAACTGGACTCAAGAAAAAGGAAGCTACAGGAGTTTACAAAATTCTACCTGTAGTGCAAACTTATCGATGTGAAGAAGCGTTGTGCTATGGGTTGGGTTTACCACGAGAGATATCCGTTAAGAGCGCAGGTACGACTCCAACAACTTGATCATTCGTACGTTCTTGTTATGCTTGGACTTTGCGGTTTACGAACTGTTTTCGCTCCTTTCACTGAAGTAAATATTCAAATATTTTCACAAAATCTGAGTTGCGGTATTGCACCTGGTGAGCTTACAACTTGCAAGTTACAAGTCCTTGGACTTTGAGTTTATTGGCTACCAGCCGATTGAGGCACCCGGATAGAAAACTACTAAAGGTTGATTCATGAAATATGTGGAGAAAAATTCTCTCGTCGCTTAACGCTCTTGAGCTTGCCCAACGTCATCGTCTGAGTACCATGGATATCGGTGGGGATTATCGTTTCATCTCGTCCAGATATTGTCGGCGCGCCAAAGTTCGAGCTCGAGCCATCACTGTTGTTCCACCAAACATTATATTCACCACCCGATCTTTCAATTTCAACCGAGGCAGCCTTCCCTGATTAAGTTGTTGATATGCAAGAAGCGGCTTAATAAGCTCTTGCTCCCGTACCTTCCTCATCCAATATTTCTCTCCAAGACTTCGAGAGCGTACATTGCGTTGTAATTGAACTAATGGGTAGAAGACAACGGGGTTTCGACGTACAAGCTCCTCGAAATCATCAAAAGTGAGAGTCGGTGGCAAGCCTGTTAGCGGTGAAACTGTGTTGGTTCCTAGGTGTCGCGCAGCCACTTCGATATTACGAGCATAGGAATTCCCAGCAGCTTGTAACACTTCTCCAAGCTTGCGAGCATTCACGGTGGCTATCCCTCCAGCAAAAAACGAATCGTAAAAGAACCGCCATAGTTCCGTCTCGGAAAACGCCGCAAACGTGCATACAACACGCAAGAACTGATCGAATGTCACTCGACCTGTTGAAGGCGTGACGTTGCCAAGACGAAGTAGTTCTTTAGTCAGGATTTGAGATCGCTCGAAGGCTTTGTCGTCGTTGATCAAGTGGAAAAAGCCACGTATTGTTACAGTGTCGCTGTGGGAGCCATCTTCGTCATCAAATTTCCGACGTAAATGGCGCACATCGTCTCGCGTCATTCCCAGTCGCTTACACAGTTGCTCGGTCTCTGAAGTTTCAAGCAAACGGCCGTAGATCGTGGAGACAAGCGTCTCCCTACGTGGAGGTGCTTGAGAGTTCGTAGCAGTCACCACAATCTTCGTTGGCTTCAGCGATCGACGCTGGATTTTCACAAACGAGATGCGCTTGGCACTCATTTTGGAGGACGTAAAGAACCACTGGAGCTTGCTAAATGGACTTCAGCAATGACAAGGTACCGGGACGAATTCGCTGAATTGTGCCGGGCTTGCATAAATATTTTTAGGAAGACTGTCAATCTCGACAGTATGACGCATCTGCAATATTTAGCCACATTCTACCCATCCAAGTCGAACCTCCATGACTGCGAAACCTGCAAAAGTCCGTGACTATGAACAGTCTGACAGTTCGAGAAGTAAGACCGCACAGTCGTCGGACAGCTCGAAGACGTCTAAAGGAGGTGGTGATACGCCGTCTACAGCCCCAGCTCCAGCTCGGAAGAAAAAAAAGAAGAAAGCTCAAGAAAATGAGAACGCGAGCAATTCAACCTCCAAAGGTGGAGAGACCAAGACGTCAAAGAAGCGGAAATCACCGACAAAAAGCGACGTAGAAGCTCAATCGACTGTTCAAAGCAAGGTATCCCAACGAAAAGTGCAGCCTAAGCACAAGAACTTCAGCAATCTTCTAGACAGTAAAAGCTCGACCATTGCTGTCGGTAATACACCCGAAGCTGCCACTCCTGAAGTTGATGAACCGGGGGGATTAGCTGGTGGGAACTTCGGCTTGTTGCTTGAGACAAAACAAGCTGAAAAGCTTTGTCTTTCGTTGGGGCTTCAAAAGCGGAATGTCGAGGCGATGAGACGATTCTTCGATCATGAAGAAGAACTTGGGACTGGGGATATCACGATTGACGAGTTCTTCTCCATGTTGCATGAACAACCGCGACAGCTCACAAAAGGACTTTTTGAAGCAGTTGGGCTGGTTCGCAATCTTCGAAGAATACGCTTTGATGAATTTGTTATCTGTATTGCTACCGTCGCTACATGGTCCAAGAGCGAACTGCTACACTATGCGTTCAAGCAATTCGATATAGACGAATCTGGAGTCATGGATGGCCGAGAACTTCGCGCTTTCTGCGAGGGACTTAAGAACGATAGCAGTTTCTACTTCGCGAATAATGTCAACAAAGCTCGTGAAAAATTGGTCATAAGAGACCGGAATAACCGATACCAGTATTTTAAAGAGAAGCAATCTCTAACTGATGAAGATATTGAGGCCAATACGGTGGTGGATCTGGAAGATTTAGCGAAAGGATCAACAGAATTCCAAGTGGCGTTTTACCCTTTGTTGCAGCTGCAGCAAAGTGTTCGCTCTTGTGCACCTGGAGAGCGTTTTTGGGCAAAAGTGGCGCAACGACGACAGGAGGTTGAAGTTATTGTGCACTACATGCGGATGCACAAGGGAGAGCTACCGTCCTTCTCGATTGTAAAGCGAATCATAGCATACTTGTTGCCGTCTTCGCAAGCTAATGCACAATTGGCGGTGCACAAATTGGCAATTCTCAAGTATGCTGAGGAGGAGCGAATATGGCAAGAGCAAGCACATGCTCGAGCAGAAGCAGACAAGCTGGCGCAAACAGGAAGTCAAGAATAAAACCAACGAAACCCAGTCTTCGGAAAGCGGCAAAATTTCCCAGCATCAGTCTCTCGTTATGGCTACCATCACAAAGATCGTGGGGACAAAGAATAACGTGAATGCAAGACATCGTGCTCCTTCGCGAATGCCCGAGCTTGTGGGCACTTTCCTCTTCCAGAGCTTTTCGAATTGACATCGTGGACGCTGTGTTTACATTTAATTTAGTTGAAGAAAAATAAGTCAAAGTTGTGACTGAATTCGTGATTTGGTTAAAGTGAAAGAGAAGTTCGATGCGTCATCGCCCTTGAGGTGACAAAAGCCTCATATCGTGGTGATATTTCAAGTTTGAGATAAGCTCCTAACCTGCGGATCTGCATGTGCACGAGTTATACCGAAACGGCAAGCTGCATGTTTCGCTGGCCACGGTTGTTGGCTTTCAAATACTCTTCCACACCGAAATGTCATGTCGTTAGCTTGACTGTTGTTTACAAGGAGAATCAGACTTCGTCCAATATCGCGTCGACTTTGAGCGAGAAAGTCACCGCTTACGTGGACAATCGGCATTCGTATTATAGCGCTCACTGTACATGCAAAGCAATACCAGTAATTTCGAAAGCTTGGTTTATATTGATAGATAGGGGTGGCATTGTACATGGCAGGCTGGCAGGTTGTGAGTCGATTCTCCGCGGATTAGATGCCGATACTTAATCGTAGTCGCAAGTTCGGGTGCTGCGCTTGAGCTTCCTCTAGAGCGAGGCGGTTGGCCGCGTCCTCGGATCTGTCGTTGCTGTCGCTGCTCGCCGACGCGTAGGTTACGGTGCCGTAGCCATTACTGCCTGGCTTCACCTTGGTAAACGAATTCTCTTTGTCTGGTGCCTGGACGTGCCCAGCTCCGTAGCCATTGGTCGTCGCAGCACAGCCAGTAAGCGATATCACCGCTAGAAGTACTGCTACAGACCGCCATTCAGCACGCATTTCCAATCTCTCGTCTCCTGGTTTGCCTTCGCTGTCAGCGCTGTGAACGAAAATGAATGCTGCTCACCTATTCGGTGGAACGGCAAGTCGTCGGCGGAGCAAAAGATGCGATGGGACCCCACCCGCCAGAATTCAGCGAGGTCGGAAATGTACTCTGGTTGAGTGGGGTAAAGATGCAGATAAGACCGCCGGCGCCATTTGCTTGCCTCAAGTTCAGGCTCCGATGCAGTCGACGACACTTGAGCCTTTACATGCAAAGGCACGACCGACAATGGACTCACAGAATATCATAATCCTATCACACTACGCTTTCAAAATCCAGACTTGACAGGGTTATCAAACCTACCATTTGTCATAAGCCTTCTCAAGATAATATCTAATCTGAAGACTAGAAGACGCTCTTATGCTTCTTGTGTTCGTGCTCGATGCTCTCAAACTTGGCTGCGCGCGCAATAAATAACACCATCTCGATGACCATCATAACGATGGCACCACCAAGCCCAGCGACAAGTCTCTGCGAAGCAGCAACAACAGCTTAGCGTCCGTAACACTTCAACACTTCAGCCTCAAAACTCACCGTCGTCTCGTTCTCTGTGAGGTTCCGAGCCAAAAAATACACGGCAATGAAGGCCGTGACCCGGGCCATGACCATATTGGCACCGATCGACAGGTGCTGACGCACGCTCGTCTGGTGGTGGGCCAACTCCTTGGCCGCCGACTGTGTCTTGACGTTGCGTACCATGCTGTCGTAGCGCATCTCCTCGTCCAGACGCAGGAGCTTCTGGCGGCGTCTGGCCAAGTACTTGGCTCTCTTCTCTCTGTCCTCTTCGGTCTCCTCTTGGTCTGTAGCCATAACACGCGCCTGAATTCCTCGTCCTTGGCGCAATAGCGATACCAGAGTTGGTGTCGCCGGGTCTGAGGCTTTCAACTCGCGCAACAGACTCGACGCTAACCGCAATTCGTTCGTTGATAAAGTATTCTCCTTCTCATTCAGCAGCTTCTTCACATCCGACCGGCTAAGCTGCTTGGTGTCCAAGTGCGTCGCCAGGAACATGCGCAGAGCGCTTGTGCCTTCGCCATGAAGCTGCAGGTTGAGTGGCATCTTGAACTCGTTCGTAACTGATAAGATATGCCCGTTAAAACACAAACCTTCCATATTGACTATTGATGACCTCTTCAATGACATATTGTGGCCATTTCGCGTAATACAGTCTCAGATGCTGCCGCGTCAGCCGCGGTCGCGTCCAGGCAAGCTTGATGCCTCGCCTCGAGCCCCACGGCGCTCTTCAACTGCTGCAATCAAGCATGCATATAGCTGTGTGTTTCTTCTCTCTATCGCATTGCTTTTGGTCTCCAGCAGCGCTGCACAAGCAGAGAACCAAGCTCAAGACGTCTCCAATAAACTCTCCCACTTCAACGGTCTGCACACACTGTCCGGAGCAAGTTACCGCGCCTTCAAGAATCGACTGAAGCGGCAAATGCGCGGCGAGAGCTGTTTACGCTACCATGTTGGCAGTACGTGGTGGCATTACGAGTGGTGCTTCGATCGCCACGTGCGTCAGTTCCATCCATTCCCAAAGGGCGAGAATTCCGAGGAGAAGAGCATCATGCTGGGAGTATTTGACCCACAAAAGCCACAGCCGTTGCGGGTTCTAGCCGTGGACAATCTGGCAAGACTCACAGACCCGGACCGGATGGGTTATATGGCGCAGCAACGTTACAGTGCGGGCGATTTTTGCGAAGCTCGCGGCGCTCGTCGGTCTGTGAAGCTTCAAGTAAAGTGCTGTGCACTGCATGACAATGAAACGTACGTAGACTCAGTGGACGAGAAAGCGCCGTGTGACTACGAGATGAACGTGTGTTCGCCCGTGGCATGCGGCCTGATGCAGAGAGATCAGTTTGTGCTCACTGCACCGACATACATGAAGGAGGATGAACGCAAAGCTTTGACCAAGACAGTGAGGGAGATGTTTTATCACGCGTACAATGGCTACTTGACACACGCATTCCCACAGGATGATTTACTGCCAGTTTCGTGTAAAGGTGGAGAGTTTGAGCTTGGACGACTGCCAATGCTTACGCTGATCGACACTTTGGATACATTGGCGCTGCTGGAAGACGCAACGGAGTTCAGAAGAGCTGTGGGATTGGTGGTGGAGAATGCAGACTTTGACTTGGACACGGAAGTCTCTGTCTTTGAGACGACGATCCGAATGCTAGGTGGACTGCTATCGGCTCATCTCTTCGCGGTTAATACCGACCTGAAGCTGTTCCCAGAAGGTGGATATGACGGTTCTCTGCTGCGGTTGGCTGTGGATCTGGGAGATCGGCTGATGCCTGCGTTTGATACCGTAACGGGGATTCCGTACGGCACTGTAAACTTGAAGCATGGCGTGCCAAAAGGAGAAACGCCAATTGCGTCGACTGCTGGTGCTGGGTCACTCTCAGTTGAGTTTACTATGCTGAGTGTACTCACTGGAGAACCCAAGTACGCTGCTGCGTCTCGTGGAGCTGTTCGTGCGCTCTTCCAGCGTCGGTCGAAGCTCGGGCTGCTAGGAAAGCACATCAACACGAAGACAGGGGAGTGGACGGAGACATCGTCGGGTCCAGGGTCAAACTCGGATAGTTTCTACGAGTATCTGATGAAGATGTACGAGCTCTTTGGTGATCGTGAGGCCTTGGAGATGTTCGCGCAAGTTTATCCGGCTGTGCTGGTTCATAACAAACATGGAGACTGGTACACCGACGTGTCCATGTATACAGGTTGCCATCATCACAGTGGGAGCTCAGCTATAATCTTCGAAAGCCTGGCATCTTTCTGGCCAGGAATGCAAGTTGCTGCAGGAGATTTGAAGGTTGCAGCGGAATCAATGAACTCATTCTATCGCGTTTGGCGGGACTACGGATTCCTCTCGGAGCAATTTAACGTCGGTGATTGGAAGCCTGTGAAGTCACGGGGTGGCGGTGGAGCGCGATATCCGCTGCGTCCAGAGCTGATTGAGTCGACATTTTACATGCACGAAGCCACTAACGACTCGTCCTGGCTACGTGCTGGAGCTCACGTGATTCATTCGCTGCAAAAATACACCAAGACCTCGTGTGGCTATGCGAGTATCGCCGATGTTGAGTCCAAGAAGCAAGAGGATGATATGCCGTCGTTCTTTCTTTCCGAGACGTGCAAATATCTATATCTGCTATTTAACACAACCCATTTCTTCCGTCAGGGCAACTACGTGATGACCACAGAGGCTCATCCACTACCGATTCTTCCAACGAAGCTCGTTGAGCCGGTATTACAAGCATCCAGTGCGAGCAACGATGTTGTATACGACAATCGGTACTCCCCTCATCGAGTTATGCAGTGTGAAGTACCCAAGTTTTACGATTTTATCGACTATTCTGTTCATTATGAAGGCAAGGTCGTGGCTCGTACGTCGCGGTGCTTGCCACCTGCGCCATCTCCTGCTGCGTTGCTGAAAGCGTCCAAGTCGATGGCTAAAAAACTTGCTACGACTACAGCAGATACGGACGCGATGTCTGCTATCGAGAAAATTGCACAGGCTGCTTCAGAGAACGCCAAACCAACAACCAACGAGAAGAAGAAATCGATAGACACAGAGAGTGTGGCGTCAAATGTGCTTCAGGAATGGCTTCCAGCTTTGGAGGAGAAGCTCCGGAAAATCGGTGGCAAGAATATTGACGATAAGTGGCTGGAGAAGCTTCTGGAAGAGAACTCCCTCAAATCAAAGCAGCCAACAACTGACCAAAACTCTCAGGGTCAAGTAGTGCAGTACTTGTATGGTGGCAACCAACTCGGTGAATTCCGAGTCGAGCAACTTCCAGGTCGTGTGCGTGTTACTCGAGAAGAAACCGGCGACTGGATTGAAGCATCAGGAGTTCTTGACGCAAGTTTCATGATTATCGGATTGGGTTTAAACGACGGTTCTGACGGGGATGCTGGAGCTGATTCATACACTTTCGATGAACCAACAAGTGATAAGATCGAGCAAGGCGATGACTACCATCCACCGTATTTGTCGTGGAATTACGTATACAAGATCAACGAAGACTTTACGCTGCCTATGGATCAGCGGTGTTCACTACGCGTTCAAGTTGGCTACACATCTTATCCTGGGGAGCTGCAACACAGTGCAAAGGGAAGCCCTCACGATAAGGGCAAACCCAACGTGTGGTTGACTGTGCCTTGTGTTGGTGCTGGTTTCGGCGTGACGAGCACGTTCCAGGCGTCTCGTGCGTTCCCCGCTAGTGAACTGGTTCTCGCTGACCCAATTGATGCGTGTAGCGAGGTGACAAACTTGTCTGAGGAGAATGTCCGAGGGAAGACTTTGATCGTCCTGAGAGGAGAATGTTTCTTCGAAAAGAAAGCACGGAATGCGGCCAAGTGGGGCGCTGCCGGTGTCATCGTGGTTAACACTGAAGACGACGACCTTGTAATGGTTATGGGAGGGATGGAGGAGAACAGCGAACAAGATACCGATGAACCGTTGGGTATACCTGTCGTGATGGTGCCTCAGCGTCTGGGCGAGTGGTTCGAGGCCCGCTTGGCTGAATCGAAGGCTTCTTCTTTGTCTCCTGTGAAAGTTAGCGTCGAGCTTACAGTGCGCCACCATGATGGCAATGCTGACATTAGAAGAAGACCAAGAGGAATTCATGGAGACGGCTCGTTCCCTAGAGTGGATGGCAAAGCTGACAACATGAAGATTTATGGTCCTTTGTGGGGGATTGAGCTCATCACGATTAACTCAAGCAAGGAGAAGAGTCAAGAACAGGAGGAGTATCACCAAGACAGCTTTACCATCGCCATCGTCGGTACCCCGCCCTGGCAACATTAGAGAAATGTGAAGACAAAACTCCATAGAATAGAGCAAGTAATTCACGAAAAAAAAAATGTTTTGCGTTGTCACATGTGCTTGATCTCTCTCGTCCAGTACAACTACAACACAGCTTACTCTCATCTGCTTCTGTCTCTTGCATCACTCTCCAATGCGCCGCATTTCTTACTTCGAATGCAGCGTCTAGGCAAGTAGTTTCTTCCGCTTGCCTTGATCATCCTTGCCACGTTGCACAGCTGTGATACGGTCGCCTAAGCTGAGCGCAATGCCCTGAGTCTTACTGCGGATACGGATGTAACCAGCGATGCGGCCGCTGTCCTGCTTCTCCACGCTGAGATTAACAAGCGCATCCTCGCCGAATACACTCTTGGCATACAGATTAGCAGCCAAAAAGTTCGTGTCTCCACCCAGCGAAGCCGTCGGCGTCATGCAACGCATGTTGGTCTTGTCTACCACGTGCTGTAGAAACTCGAACACGTTCGACAGCTCCGTGTGCACAGCCACCTTGTTCTCCCACTCGAACTCGGCCCACATCGCACGGAAGGCTGCGTCTGTGCACGTGGCTGGCTTGATGTAGTCCATAATGTCCAGATGAATGTCGTTCAGGTTCACATACGTTTTCTCTGCTCCTGAAGCCGAGTCGTACACGATAGTGCCGAAGATGTGACCAGTCTCCGTGGAGCTCACCTTGATGTTGGCACGGATCGTGCGCTGGTCAAGAGGCCCGATGGTTTGCGGCTGAGGGCGCTCCACGAGCTTCAGGTCACCAATAGTAGACAGATCCACCGTCAGGTTTGTAAGAGTCTGAGGAATGCGGTTCACCACCAAAATCTCCAGCACAATATCGTAGTCGTGCACCGTGACGCAGGCCTCGGCGTACACGGGGTCAGCGAAACCTGTCAACTGGTGCACGTGACGCATCGCACCGGCATATTCGTTGTCAGAGCCGTCTCCTTGCTGGCCCAGAGCACGGTTAATATCTGCGCCATCGTCAATATCAATATCGGTCGAGCCTAAAGCCTTCTTGCCACGCAGTTGTCGGAAGTTAATCAGATCATCTGCCTGTGTTACGGGCTCGCCGCCGGCACCTCCGGCAGCAGCACGTGCAGCTTCAGCCTCTTGTGCCTTTTGCGTGTCGAGAAGATGACGATACGCAGCACGACACTCCTCTGTGATGATCGCGTGCGTGGCCTGCGCGCTTGCTGGGTCAAGCAGAACGCGCACACCCATGAGGATGCGACGTGCAGAGTCCTGGTCGATCTCGTGCTTGCTCGCCTTCGACTGTCCGTAAGCCACAATGGCACACATGCAACGAGTAGAATCCACCACCAGCTTCTTGATCGCAGCGTTGCGAGCCGTAGCGCTGGCAACGTCACCGTTTGCTACACGGAGACACAGCTTGGTCAACGTAGAAGCCACGGCCGCGCCCAGGAAGAAGTCACCGTTCAGCAATAGACGTCGCAAGCCAGGCACGTTTTCCTCTTCAGCCACAGTCTTCGCTGCCGGAGCAGAGTATGACGTCTCAGTAGCGTACGTGCCATCAGCCAGCACAACACTCTTGGTAACAGGCTTCGAGTACGCTGCACCGGCAGTGGCCGGGTTCTCTGAGTCAGTGTTCTCCGTTGGCGCCTTCAGCATAGCCTCCGTAGCCAGCGGTAGGCTACCGATAGCAGTGAAAATCGTACTGGCCGCCTCAAAGATCGACGTGTCGCTTTCAGTGCCATCCTGGGGCGGCACAGTAGCGTACTCGCCGAGAATCCAGAGACCAACACGGTACACCTTGGCCAACGAGATATCTGTGAATGAGATCATCAGTTTCTGCAGAATACTCTCACGTAGCTCCGGGTAGCTCTCGCACATCGCGCGTACAAAGAGAATGACATCCATAGCACCATCTGGCTGGTTCAGGAACTCCATCAACAAGTGCACCACTGCATTGGCAACTTCAGGGAACTTGACAGCACAGGCGTGGATGGCCTTAATCAGCAAATGACGGTACTCTCCGGCCTTTTCACGGGTCTTGTCCTGGGTCTTGACCACCTCACGCTTCAAATGAGTCACCACTTCGTCGATATTACGCACCGAGACGAGATCCATGGCGATCTCCAGTACTTTTTTGCAGATATCCAGATTGGGCGAGCTGAGAGCACGCATGATGTCCATGAGGATCTCCTGCAGCACCTTCGTGTGGTGTTTCTTGAGGTCAGCTAGTCGGTCCAGCACGATGAGCTTGACGTTGTTGTCGCTCTGCGAGTTCAGCAGTCCGCAGTACGTCTTGGCTGCAGCACGCACCGCAGTCGGAGCAGCTGACAGCGTGACGAGCGTCCAGGCCGCCTCGTAGCTGACAGCAGGGGATGACGAGTTGAGCAGCTGGAAGACACAGCGCACGAAGCGAGCCTTCTGTGCCGGGTCCTGTCGACACACTTTACGCGTCATCTCGAGGATGACGAGCGAGAATCCGTCCCCGAATTTAGGGACCTGGTCCATAGCGTTCATCAAAAAGGTCACGGCTCGGTCCTGTGCGCAGTCGTTAAGCATGAGGAAGGCGTTGCGTCTAGCTCCAGCGTCGCTCTCGTTGAGGATGAAGCGCTCGATGAGTTCCGGAGCATCGGGGATCAGCACGTCCCCGAAGGTCTTGTACATGGTGTAAACCGTCATCACGGCGTTCTTGCGGACATATGAGTGACGGTGTTCCAGATTGCTCTTCACAGCGTCTTTAAGAGGCTCCAGGATGTCCTTTTCCTTGATTTTACATAGGAAACGAAGCATGCAACCGCGAATGTATTCGTTTGGGTGGTTCAAGTCGTTCAGTAGCGCGTTGCACACCAGGATCATCTCTGGGAGGAGCTTGGGAGGAGCTTTGGACGTATCACCCGGCTGCTGCTGCTCGTACTTGGGGGCGATCTCCCAGTACACCATAAGCAGCTTCTTGAGCGTGTGGTCGCTCTGTGTAGAGCAGAAGCGGATGATGTGCATCAGCACCTTCGGCAGCTTTTCGCCTTGTAAAAGGCACAGGATGGCGCTCTTGACGGCGCGGATCTTGAGCTCAACCTTGGGTGACTCGAGGCCCTTGAGGATTTCATCCTGCGACGGAGGAAGCGCCTTCTCCCCTGTCACCTGCTGCAGTAGCACTGTGCAGTAGCGCTCATTCGTCACGCCCGCCATGGTCGCTCTTGGATCCTTCCACGCGGACTATATGAGGGGGAGTCGACGCGGCAGCAAAGTGTCGACGGATGATTGGTTGAAATTGGTAAATTGAAGTGATCAGATATCGACCAATGATATTTGATTCTGAATGATTGTCAATTCCGCATTGCTTGCGCATTTGAGATGCTACCCCGCGTGGGCGTCGTGTACACGAGAGATAGCGCGCTATCACGCGAGGACGCGCAGCTGGCTCAGTATGTATCGCTGTGTCTGGCTGCGAGTGGTCGTTGTGCGAAGACGTGGCTTGTAGGGCTCAATAATGATGGTAAGAGCATCGATAAAAATGAGAGCAAGACTGGGGCAGTGGCACTGCGCTGCGACGGTGCTGTGTTGGACAGCGGCAAATTATCGACGGAGATTTACGAGGAAACGGGGGATTGTACGAAGCTGAACGAGTGCGACTTGTGGCTGCTGATGGTGGAGACGGACGCGACACTGAAAGTGACTGAATTTCTGCACAAAACACTGAAGAAAACGGACGAGAAGCAGGCCAAGCGCGTGGTGATCAGTCTGCAGACGACCATGCGCCGTCTCGCTCAGCTCAACTCAGCGTGCGTCAAAGTTATGGTACAGAGGTGGCAAAGCGGATACTAATGAGTTGTATAGACTGCCAGATTCGATTGTGCTGCATGGAGGAGAGGCTTTCCAGGTGGTGAAGGACGACAAAGGGATGTTGAGACCACTGTGCAATGGATGCTTCTTTGTGGAGAGACTCTCGTAAGTAGATCTGGCTAGATGAAGGCTGAATAACGCTCTGATCAAGTGGTGTGTGGATAGGAAGGAGAAGACGTCGGCGCTTTATGCACTGGACGTGCTGGAAGGAACGGGGATCCAGGTGCTCAGTCGTCATAATATTCAGGGTACGATGATGCTGTCTTGTCTGGTTCTAGTTGGCTAGTGTTTCATAACTCTTATCTTACTTTGTTGTTGTAGCGATGAAGTGGGGCTGCACGATGCTACGTAGTTTCTACTACATCAATGCTCTGACAGGGAAAAGCGTTCTTGACGGACTACGAGATAGAAAGACGCGTTTTCTTTTCCTCCAGGCGCTGGTGGAGATGGATGAACTGTTTCAGGCTGTGATGGCAAGCGTGACTGCTGCTAACAAGTCCGGTCGCGGGAGTGGGGACTCTAGTCCCGATACAAGTGCTGCCACACTGTTCCCTGTGCGGTCATTGATGGTGCTGCTACCTCTTCCCGACTGGATCTTTAACAGCTTCGTCCTTCGAGTGTTCGATCTTGGTCTTGGAGCTCCATCCAGCACAGACAAGTCTGTTATCTCGGTACGACACCGCGGTTCATATGTCTGGCACCTCTTCACTCTAACTTTGCTTTCTCCACTGATTGTTGGGTTCTAGTCCGATTTATCGGCAATTCCACCATTGAAGACCAACTTTGAAGCTGAGTTCCGCGATATTTTCGAGTTGGCGACAGGACGCAATATGACATTGCCAGCTTTGAAGATGCTGCAGACGACGCTTTCGTCCGTTAGAAAGCAGCAATTGCAGGAGCATAAGGATGGCGTCAGCTCCAGAACCCCAGTGCGGATTGACAGTGGCGTGCTCCTCGCAGAGGTGAAACTGTCTCCTCACTGTACTGCTGCTTCTCGCACCTTTTTCTTGAAAGTGTTCGCTACGTTCGTGCTCACGTTGCTATTGGGACTCTACCTCTTTGTATGGTAGTTTACTATTGGTAAAATTCTCGCATGATTGATTCACGAGGCGCTCGAATATCATTCCACCGACTCAGGGATCTTGATTATCATCCTCGTCTTGACCCCATTGTAGAGCTTGCTTCGCTTTCACTCGGGCTGCGGTTTGTTCCTGCAGTCGTTTTTGTTCTTCGGCGTATTTGAGAACTGCTAACTTGTGCACGAGCATTTTAGTGTGAGCTTGTGAAAAAGGTATCAGAGCCATGATGCGGGTCATTGCCGAAGTTGGTGGCAGTTTGCCTTTATGATTCCCCATGTATTGCACAACGACGTCAACATGTTGACGACGTACCGTGACACCGGCCCAGAACTGTTCTCCTAGCGCACAGCCACGCACATTTTGCTGCAATTGCATCAAAGGGTAAAATGCAACTTGAAACTCGTCTGACCCTTTCATCAAGTCCTCAAGGTCCACAAGTGCGTCGTCCTCGTCATCACTGATAACCGGAAGCTGCTCCGATGGGTTCTGCTTGCTGGGATGCTTGTGATCCCGCGCGGTTATCTTATCGCGAGCTATACTCACGTTGTTGGCGAAGTAGAAGCTGCTATCGTTCTTCAGACCTTCACAAAATGCTCGAAGTTCACGACTGTCCATGACACCAGATTCGTCTACATCAAACTGCTTGAAGGCATACTGCAGCAGTTCACTCTTGGACCAGGTTGCAATAGTTGCGATGCAGATTACGAAGTCATCAAAGCGCAACCTCTTGATATCATGGGCAAGACCAACTGCGTCAAACAGACCTCTTGTAAGCTGACGGGGTTGCTCATGCAGCATCGTGAAGAACTCGCCAATTGTGATTTCACCAGTACCAAGCTGCTCTTCACGTTTAAAAGCCCGATGTAGAGCCATCACATGACGCTTTTGAAGGCCAAATGACATACAAAGCTTCTCAGCACGTTTCATCTGGAGTAGTGTGTCGTATTGGCCGCTAGCGAGTCCTCCCGTGTCGTTGATTGCTCCTGGATCAGATGCTGCGTTCTCGACTGCCGTTGCAGAAATCTCTCCTGTTGACTTCGATTTTACTTGAATTCTTTGTGCTGATGTCTTTGCCTGTGAATCGGTGTGAAGCTCAACATCGTTAGCTTCGTGAAGCTCCTTAGCCGCTATTGATGATGGATTCTTCCGCTTTTTGGACTTCGTGGAATGGCCATTCTTCGGAGTTGAATGGCTTGATATTTTCTTCTTCTTTGAAGGCACCGCTCCACGCGCTTCCCTATCTTTTGATGCTTTCGTGTGGTTCGTCACTTTTGGAGACTTGGCTTTCGTGCCATTGGGCATTTTTGCGACTTCTGTTAACGGTCAAGGCTGGCTTCGATAGGTGACGGAGTCTAAAATACCCATTCCTTAAAAAAAAGAATGGAGAAGTTCTCCATTCTTTTTTGTAAGTTATTTAATATTTTCCTGGTTCGATTTCGTGTTTCTTAGAAAAGACAGGTTAATTGCAGGTTAAATCGAGTTTGAACTTATTCCCGGAAAGTTCGTTATGTATCGCACACCATCCTCTCTTTCATCTCCAACGCTGATTCGCGAATAAGCGTTTGAAAAGTCAAGTGACGTCTTCGCGATGGCGACCTGGACGCTGCTGCTGTTGGCGCTGCTCTTCTCTCAGGTGTTCGCAGATCCCCACGCCAAGTCAAGCCGTACGTATTCTGGTCTGGAGCATTTCCTCCTTCGCATCTAACTCTTTTTTGTTTTTTTTTTGTTTTTCCCTTTAGACGAGAACGTGGCGTCCGAGGCTGACCGCAGACGCTTCCTATGGCTGGATGAGGGCATCGCAGCCACAGGCGAGGTGCATGATTGGGGGCAGCAACAGAGCTTCTGCTTCTATGAGAATTCGTCGCTGCACATCCGCATGGACCCGTTGAACAGGTAAAAAAGATCGATTATTTGGCAATAATTGCTCTAAAACTGACTGCTGAGGTGTTTACGGAGTGCAGCACACTGCAACCAGCGCTGATTCAGACGCTAGGCCAATCGCGCGAGGCCAATGCGCTGTTTAATATGACAAACGCCACGTTGTGGTACTTACAGAGCGTCGCGTGGCCACTGCGACCAGTGTTCTGGGCTTGGAGCGAGCTGCGTGTTATCGTAGAGAGCCCCAAGGCCAACCAGTTAAGCTACACATTCGCACGGTAGGTTTTACTGTTTGTTACGTGAAGGATTAAAGGTTCAAGAGGTCTTATTTGGGTGTTCTATTCGCTGTATTAGCACTCCAGGACTGTTGTGTCGAAGTGTATTGAAGGCAGCGCTTCTGACACCGGGGCTTAAGGAATACGTACCACCCTATGTGGTCAACGCGGTTGAAAACTTCCTATTCTTTGCGTGTACGTTGCTGGGCTAATCTGGCCTGTAAATTCGTGTTTGTACTGACGTTTCTTGAATTATACCATTGATTTATACAGCCAAGCTTGTGTGTGAGAACTGCGTGGGTGGCTGTCCGCTCGCGTGCAGAGAATCGGAGGACGAAGACACATGCATGCTAGAACTCAGTCCGTATCACGCGCCATGCATCACAGTGACCGGTCCTCTGCAGCCGTTCATCTCGACAGCGACACCAAACTTCAGCTACGTTCTCACGTTCTATACATGTACGTGCTGACGACTCAAAACTTAAACTATACCATGCCATACGCTAATCTATTGTATTGTGTACGTTGCAGATCTGTCGTGGGTGTATGCGCAGAACTTCTTCTTGGGTCTGCTGCTATTTTATCTATCGGAGTGGCTGTCACGTTCGCGCTCCTTCCACTACCTGTTGGGTGCCACAATAGGCGTATTTTTCTCGGCGCTTCTCGCACTCTATCTCTTCCAGCGTCAAGCTCGGAATACTACCAATATGTTGCCAGGGGCTCAGCTGGTTTCGTCTCTAGCTTCCGTGGCTACAGTGGCGGTTCCAGTCACGGGCTTTGTGATCATGCCGAACCTGTATCGACTCGGGTCGTGGGCTATCTCGTATCTCGTCTACTTGTGGAACCGTGAAGTTCTGTTCGGCATCCCTCATCTGGGCAAGATCTACTTCGCCTTCTTCGCTTTCTTTGGCTGTGTACTTGTGTGGTGGTATCAGTGGGGAGCGTCGGCTAAATCGGAGTCAGAACCACAAGATGAAGAGGAGATTGAAGAGCTTGGCTACTTGGACGACGAGCTGCCTCCTCTGACGAGTTTCCAGCTCATTATCTCGCGTTCCTTGAAGATATTGGGAATGACGTTGCTGTTTTACAGCACGTCATCTACTGAAGCCTCGTTGCTGTTGATACTTCTGGTATCACTCACGCGCGTCTTCGAGATTATCGCAACGATCGCGTACTTCTGGTACCATTTCGAGAAGCCTGGTCGTCACAGTAGCTTGATTTCCAAGTCGGAATATGAGAAGCAAGGACAGACAGAAACGGAGAAAGCGCTGGCGCAATTGCAGAAATATTTGAAGGAGAATCCAGATGAGCTGGACAAGGTTCGAGAGGATAATGAGATCCGACTTCGACGATTTACCAGAGGCCGCAACCACTTGGATGTGGCCACGCAGGAATCTATGCTCGCTCGCCAGCGCGACCAAAGGCGATCGGTCTGGTCGTACTGCTCCATTCAGTAGTTCAGTAGTAAATAGAGGAGTGAACAATGCAGCAAGTGGCATGACAGCACGAAGGTACGCTTGTCTGCTGAAGTCATTTTGGGCTTGGAGGCTGACAAAAATGTGGTTTATTCACGTGAATAGATAAAAAAAAAAAATGCTGCAAGCGAATTTACTTGCTGTTTTTTTGTTACGCACTACATGAAATCGTAGGACCGATCAATCAACTCACCGCTCTCACTTTCTTGTGCTCGATCTCTTTGGTTCAGGTTTCACGATGGAATTGGGCCGCGGCTTCGCGTCCAGTAGAACCCGTCGTTAGTCACCGAGTCGTGCATCTCATTATCTTCCACTTTGCAAGCGATCTTGTCTTCATATGCCGCGTCATCGTCTCCGTTCGTGATCCCGTGGACACGAGATTCACGACGGATCGTCTCCTGTAGTCGCTGCCACGAGTAACCAGAACGCGTAGAAGACGTCGGAGTCTGCGGATATGTCGATTGGTCTACAGCTCTCAGTTGCCAAGCAGACTCACTACTCGTTGTTTGTTCTTCTTGCTCCAACGAGACAACAGGTGTGCGGATAGGTGGGATCGGTGTACTGCGGCGAAGGATACCTGGTCGATTAGCCATCAGCATCGTGTTGAGCGGAGGAAGCATGCGACGTGGAGGCAAGGTCAGTGCTGGAATCGGAGAGTGAACTTCCGTTAAAGACCAAGCACGCTTGGTAGCGATTGGAGAAACCGGCTTACTCTTGGTACTTGCTGTAGATCTCCCGCCGTGAGCAAAGCAGAAGCCTCCTTTACGCGCAGTGGTTGTACAGCCTTCAAAGACACATCGTTTGCCGCCGCCATGAGCGATACAGCGACCTCGACTCACAGCACTATTGGCACAGCTCTCAACTATGCACCGTCGTCCGCCACCATGAGCCTTGCACAGTCCAAGACGCTGTGCACTACTGGTACAGCCACTCACCGTACACCGCTTTCCGCCACCATGTGCAATACACCGACCGCCAGTCTTCGCACTACTCGTACAGCCTTCCACCGCACAGCGACGTCCACCACCATGAGCACGACAACGAGCACCACTCACAGCACTACTGGTACATCCAGCCACTTGACAGCGATGGCCTCCACCGTGTGCGATGCAGAAACCTCCTTTCTTGGCACTGGAGCCGCATCCTTCACGTTGACAACGTCCTCCGCCGCCATGAACGTAACACAAGCCTCGACTTTGAGCGCTACTCGTACAGTCCGGAACTTGGCAGCGTCGTCCTCCTCCATGAGTTCGACAACGTCCGCCAGAAGCCACGTGCTTGTTGCAGCCTTCATTACTGCATTTCCGTCCGCCACCGTGTTGTACGCACAGCCCTCGACTCACAGCAGTACTGGAGCAACTGGGCGAGCCACGACAGCGACGAATGCCGCCATGGGCCACACACAAACCTCCAGACACGACGTGCTTCATGCAGCCTTGAATACGGCAACGTGTTCCTCCTCCATGTGTCGGACACAAGCCACAACTGCGTGCTGCGTTCAGACATCCCGAAAAGCGGCACAAGTTCGTCACGTTAGACTCTACAGCATCGTGTTCGTCGGTGTCGGAGCTTGAAGACCACGAGTCGATGATGTCGGCATCCTCGGACGAATGCGAAGCTGCGTGGAGAAGCTCACTAAATTTCGGGAAATCGTCCTTGTCCAGGACCTTGGCTTTTGTGTTATACGCCCTACTTTTCATCCTTCCAGCAGCTTTGGACTTGGAGAGAAGCTCCGTCGCAGTTGGATTGGAGAATGAAGCACGTCGGTCGGCTTGGCAATAGGTTGCACGAAAGCTGCCAAAAAAGTGGGTGGAGCGACGTGCGTGGCAGCCGTCAAGCCGATGGAGGCACCAAACCATCAACAGAAAGTGCCCTGGGAGCGCCGCTCGGGGACGAGAAACAACGAGATGGTTTGGGACCACGACGTCTTTCTAGCGGTGGGAAAAAGAACTCAATAAGTGCGAGAAATGCGCCGTCCTGTCCCGGGTGCCGCATACTGCCATATTGACAAGCAGTGACCAGCTAGCATAGCACTTTTCCATGCAAGTCCCAGAGCTCGAAAAGCCGCAACAACCAACTGCCAGATCGAACATCAAACTGAAGAACTTTTTAGTTGGTTAAAGCACCTACCAGATAACATTCTAGTCCTCCTTTTCCAGCTTGATCTCGAGCATAATGGCGCTTTTACGCTTCTGCTTGGCGAAAGCCGCGGGCAACTCCAGCTCGTACATGAGCACCTCGGACTCGGGTTTGTCCACGAGAGAGGCGAGTGGCACGTGGCAGAAACCGATCTTGTCGTCCTTGGAGATGCGGTCGTGGTCGAACACGTTCACCTCCAGCACGGCGGTGCTGGGGTCGTCGGCGATGAAGGCGAAAGTCTCTTCGGGGTTCCATTCCGGGTTGAGGTTGGCAGGGATCATGGAGCTCTTGTGCGTCGTGTTGGCCAGCTGGAAAACCACGTACGGGTCGCTCTTGCCGTTGAAGTCGGCGGACGGCAAGTCCACAGCCTTGACGAGTGTCACGTGTACAGCGTACATTGCTAGAGCTGAAAAGGGGGGAATGGAGCGTCGGATGCCGCTTCGGGAGCTTTTCACAAGTGAACAACGTCAGAAAATGAAAGAGAGAGAACTATGTTGCGTGAACGGATACGCGGAAAGACGAGCAACTTTAAAAGAATTTGGCAAGTTTTCATCCTGATGTCACTGTGCCACATGAAAGGCAACTTGGTGCGGCACTTGATCGGTGGATAGACGACGACGATCTTCTAGCAGAATACACGCTAGCAAATACAGCGCAATATCCAGTGTACGTTTTTGCTTGTAGGTATGTGGACAGCACGAATCCAGTGGCATTGGCGACTGTCCACTTTTGGACTTGATAACTTGGCGGCCAAGGGCGATTGCGGTGGAACTTTGGCGAGGTGTTCGTCCGCAATCGTGCTATGAGTTTTGCGTGGCTAACGTGGGGTCGACCAACGCTGTTGAGACAGGAAATCAGACGCACGGCGAAAGCGATGTTGACTTCATTGCATGCCGCATGCATTCAGCCTGCAGCCGTAACAAGAAGGAAAAAAAAATTGGACCCAACATTACCGACGGGTACAATTGTCGTTGCCAAGCTAGTAGGAACAACCTTTTGGCATTGCCATGGGTGAAAGTTCCATCGTTGAAACAGTAGAACTCAAAAACGATGTTGAAGTTTACCTGCTTTCAGAATGTATGATATGCATACGTTTTACCGGATAATTCTCCTGGGTTAACCCCGTGTCTCAGCCTTTAAATTCCACTGTCCGTTTTTGTAGCGAATCACCAGTCCCTACGACCTTCGTTTCAGACCAATCGTTTAGCATTATCTGCACGTACGTATACTGTCTACTTACGACGAAGCAACGGTATCCGACATGCGAGTATACCGTTTTCTTACGAGAAGGCAACATACCATGCCACACCACAACGCACACTGTCAGTCGCACTCCGGATCTGGAAGACAGCGGAATAGACAGTAGATCATGAGCGGCATGCACACGCTGCAGGTGACGCTGGTGCGCGCGGGTGACCTGGCGGCCAGCGACTTCGGCTTCATGGGCATGGGCGGCAAGAGCGACCCGTACGTGGTATTCAAAGTGGGGCGCGTGAGCCAGAAAAGCTCCGTGGTGCCCAGCAGCCTCAACCCGCGTTGGGACCCGGCCGAGACCTTCCAGTTTCAAGTAGACCGCCCCAAGGAGAAATGCCTCGAGGTGCACGTGATGGACTACGATCGCTTCATGAAGGACGACTGCATTGGCAACGCCAACCTTGCACTGGCCCCGTTCCTCGAGAAGAAGCAGTCCGAAGTCGTGTCTTACGAGCTAGAGGTGCCTCCTGACTACGACAAGCAGAAACGCAAATCTGTGCTCTTCCTAGAGATCAAAGTGACTCCGAACGAGCAAGTGGATCAGATACTCGAGCTCTGGGAGAACCAGCGCTACCACATTGTCAAGAAGTGGACCACAGACACGCACATTTCCGGCTCGACCGAACGCAAGCGATGGAGCTCCGTCACGGACGCTAATATCTCGTCTAACGCCTTTGAGGAAGTCGCGCCCAAGGTGCCAAGTCATCTCAAGGCCGAAGGATGGACACTCGATGTCTCGCAGGGAGACGACAATGGCTGGATCTATGCGCCGTCCTTCTCCGGACCTTGGCAGAAGGACCCCTTCACATTAGCCATGGTGCGACGACGCAAGTGGATCAACAGATGCACAGCTCCAGACAACCAGTAAGACGTGACAGATTGCCCTTCTGAGCTGAAGGGATGAAGATACAAGCGCACTGAAGATATTAGTCAGTGCGAGTCGGGAAGTTCTCGACAAATGAAGGAAAAGCACAGCAGCAAAGCAACAGTGACGACCTGAATGAATGGGGCGCGTGTTGTGAACACCACTGCGAGAGAAGGCAGCAACAAACTACGCAAAAAGTTGCAGTTTGTGTTTTGCCACTGTGCGTTTCCGTGTTGTTAGGAAAAAATGATTGCAATTTTATCCACATCCATTCATCGTCTCTATTTGCATGTGTTTTTCGCGACGATTGTTCATGCAAATGCCTTGCTCCACATTTTCTTTTCCTTGTCAAGCTGGCGGCGCAGACGCAACTTGAGACGTTCATCGAGCTTGACGACGGCGCGGTCTTGCGGTGCGAGGGCCAGCGCGGCCTTGACGTCGTCAGCCGCCTGCTCGAGCTTGTTCTCCTTCTCGTACGCCACAGCGCGACGGTAGAGAGCCTTGACGCTCTTGGCGTCCAGAGCCAGCGCTTCGTTGCAGTTTGCCACTGTTTTAGTGTAATTTTCCATCTTGAGGTAACACTGCGCCAGATTCAGGTACAGACTGAGCTTGATCGCGCTCACCTCCTCCTTGTCCGCCTCGGTGAGATCGAAGAACTTGGACGCATGGGTCAAAGCCTTCACGTAGCGAGCAGCGGCGTGTTTGTGGTTGCCGTCACGGAAAAGCTCGTTGCCTTCCTCTTTGTTCTTCACCACCATACGCATACGCTCGGGTTTCTTTAGTTTACGCGTGTCGTGGTCTTCGTCTCCCTCAGCCTGACGCTCCGCCTCGGCTTTCTGCGACTCCAATTCAAGCTGCTGCTCCAACGCACGTTCATCAGCCTCAACAGCCGAGAAATAAGCCTCACAAGCAGCGCGAATCTCCGTCTCAATCGACTGATGCTTTGTGCGAATCAAGTCCAGTGTGGCAGTCTCAGACTCCTCCGAGTAGATCCAGTCCTCCGCAGCATCTAAGAGCGGGTTCAGCTTGGAAGTATCGAGTTTATCTCCGTGCTTGCCGCTGCTCTTGGAGCGCATCTCGTACACAAAAGCCTCGATGGCATTACGCTCGTGAGCGATAGCAGTCAGTTCGGCATCACGCGCCTGGAATTCCTGCTCCAACGCCACATAGCGAGCCGCGTCTGCGTCCTCTTCAGCGTCTACAGGTGTCGTGACTGCCTCGCTCGAAAACGCGGCACCGAGAGCGATGGCTGTGGTAGAATCGAGCATACGACCGATAAGTGCGTTGTTGCGCTGCTGATCAGCAGGGAAAGCGGCGATAATAGCCTCCTGCACGAACGGGATACGAGTGCCACCGCCCACGATCTCCACCGACGCGATGTCAGCACTGGAAACACTGTCTTTGGCTGTTTCCAGAGCTTTTTGCAGCATCTCAGTCACACGAGCCCGTTCAGAAGCACACAACTCCTCGAATACATTGCGAGAGATGGAGATGTTGATATCTTTCTCAGGAGCAAGGTTCTCCACGGTCACGCTGGCCTCTCCGATAGTAGACAGCAGCTTTTTGAGCTTCTCGCAAGCCTGGAACAGACGCTTGCCTCCCTTCGAGTGGAATGACACGCTCAACTGATGCTTCGTCTCAACTTCCTTCTGGAAATGTTCAAATAGGCGACGATCAAGTGTCTCGGCGCCAAGATCCACATCAGCTTCCGTCGCTAGCAGCGTCTCACCTTCACGAGTAAGCTTCACTACCGCTACACTGGTGCTGGTGTGGCCCATATCGACAATTGCAATGTGTCGAGCCGTCTCCATGGGGACATCTCCGTCAGTGGGAGCCGCAACGGGATGTTTGCAGTGGAAGCAACGAGCCAATGCTGCATCGCGCGAGATGATTGACAAGCTGGGAATACTAGCGATTGTGGCAGCCACACGGACCGCACGCTTCTCTTCGTCGCCCCATACTGATGGTACAGCCAACGTCACATGGAAAGGCTCGTCCTGGAAGCGCTTCTTCATCTGCGTGGCCAGATTGGCGAACAGCATACCAGTGAGCTGTTCTACAGTGAACTGCGTCTTATTATTGTCCTTGCCGTAGTCCACTGTAGCCACTACACGGCCAGCTTCGTCCACTTCAAAGGTGGGCTGGTGACCGGGTAGTCGCTCAAGTTGGCGCTGCACGTCCGCCAGTTGGTGCTTGCCTACAAGGCCAGACAAGAAGCTAACGGTGTTGCGAGGGTTCGTGCTGGATGAGAGCACGGCCGACTCGCCCACAAGACGCTCCTCGCCCTTAAAGGATACCAGAGTGGCGGTGGTCATAGCACCAAGCTCGTTGAGCACTACGTCGCCGTTGCTCTCAGCTACGACACATCGTTGCGCACCCTGATTAAATTGACAACGCAATTTGGTGAATTAGTCAGCAACCTGGGCGAGATAGGGCGTGCAATAGACACTGCTGGCATTGCAAGAGGATGGAGAATAAAGCCACGTACGAAGTCGACGCCAAACACGCGTGGGGGTTGCGTCGTCGCCATGATCACGAGGTCTCGGTGTGAGGGAGTAGTTGTGGTTTTACCGCTCTCGAAAACTCTATTTCGTGTTTTGGTGGCGTGGTGCACATGTTATGAACCCATTTCAAAAACGACCATCACTCACCAAAAAGGCAAGTTTTGTCTGTCAGTCTCATTTTTCAATTGCCACATCAAGAAGGACGCCATGCTCACCGCAACCAGCTCAACTGAGGAGACGTCCCAGCGGCTTGTGTCGGTGCTAGAGACCTTCGGAAGAGGCGGCGCTACAGTGGAGGAGCTGGAATACACGGCGGAGCTGCTGATCGCCACTGCAGAGGAGGAGACGATGAGTCAAGACCGAGTTAAGCTCGTCTCCGCTTTCGCTGAAGTGCTGGAGGAAACGGCGTTCCTAGACGCGGCTCAGTTATCAACAATTGCGGAACAGCTTGCTGACGTGCTGCTAGGCAGTGAGGATGACAGTGAAGAGGATCAGGAAAGCCACACCGCTAGGAGGCGGCGACTGCGCAATGAGCGACTGGAAACGCAGTTTGCTATTGGCAAAAGTTGTCTAGTGGTGCTTGAAGAGGACGAGGCGTGGCACCCGGCACGAATCACGAAGCACATTGGCGAGAATGATGACAGTGACGATGAGAGTGCAGTCGACGATCGGCCAATTGTGGTGGAGGTAGAGTTTATCGAGTTTGGCAAGAAGCAGATTGTCCGAGAGGACGAGGTGGTGCTGGACGAAGACGTTGCAGGCCGTGAAGACGCGGATGACATGACTGGTTTGTGCGAAATGTGCGAGCGACCTATGAACCTGACAGCGCACCACGTGATCCCGCGGGTCACGCATTCCAAGTATCTGCGCAAAGGGTACACGAAAGAGTTCCTCAATACTTGTATCATGATTTGTCGTCAGTGTCATAGCAAGATCCACTCCGTGGAGGACAACAAGACGCTAGCACGCGAGTACAACACCCTTGATAAGATTATGCAGCACCCGGAAATCATCGCCTGGGTTGCATACGCTCGGAAGCAAAAGGCTCGCGTTAAGCCGCGGAAGAAAAGCAAGTGGCCCGTGGGAAAGTGAGCGCATGGGACAATGGACCTCAACGATGGGTTCTTGTGAAAAGTTGTTGCTAGGTAAAGATGCTGTAACAAAAGATCTTGTACAGTTACCAATGGACTTGGACACAATGAATGAAACACTTGCAGAGATGATCACTGAGAGATCCAGTGTTGAATGATAAAGAGCTGGTTTCTGGAGCATTTTACAGTTCGTGCTACAGTGGCTGGATCATTCGATGGATTATTGCACATGTATCTTTCTCCATTACTTGGATCTGGAAACTAGCTAGTCAGTTACAGCTCGACGGGTCTGGGTGGGACTTGCACGTCAGGGAAGTCCGATCGAATATTTGAGTGCTAGACTGTAGATGTAACGCAGAGATACTAAAAAAAA